TCCTCACTCATCGCTCGTCTAGGAAGATAATGTTATTTTAGCATTATTTTTCTCCCAGAATTCAATTTTGTAAGTTTCATATGTCCATAATATCAACAATAAGACAATTTCGGTGTTTGGTTAGTAGTTTGGACTCGAAACCGAACCAGGCAATATTCTACAGTCGAATGATCATTCTATAGAATTCAGTCAGGCATTTTTACCAATTTTTTATTACTTAATAGCGTATTTTTTTAAGCAAATGTATGCAATTCTGGCCAATTCATAACATCACAGCTATAGATAAATAGCAGGTAAAATGTATACAATGGTATGATAATAATAATAATAATAACACAGTTTTAAAATATACAATATTATATTGTATTGAAATAATTATTGCATGCGTCTCGAACTAAGAGAATTATTAACCATAAATCGGCTTTAAATAAATACGATGTAACAATAAATTATTGGTATTTGTTAAAAAATAAAAAAATAAATTAATTAATAGAAAAAGTTCTATATCAATAAATAGCATTAGAAGAAATTATAACTTTAACAAACTTCACAATTAATAATTTTAGTTTCAATGTCAAGTAAACAAGTCAGACCTTGTACATTTGCAATATGGTATTAAAAAATGTATATATTGACGATTGGTCATTGTAGCTTTCAAAACAAAGTTTATGGTTAATCACAGCTGATTTAAATGATTGATATGAAAAATTATATTTTTACGATGTGTAAAACATTCATTTTAATACAACAATTTATGTTAGAAGTTATTACGACTGCATCATAAACTTTGTATAGAGAAGGAATAGTATATTGTATTTAACTCTAAAATTAATTTGATTCTTAATGAGAACTATTATAATTCATAAGTAATACAAATTTACAGTGCCCAGATATTTATTATTCAATGCCATCAATGATTATTATCATGATGCTTGCAATTATTTGATCGAGTTTATAACCATATTTATTTTTAAGTCCATGGCTTTTTATATTTCCGGCGTTATGTGATATTTTAAGAATTTCGATTGCATATTTTTTGGATATCTCTATTAAATATAAAAAAGGAATATTAAAATATATAATTAGCCATGCTGAAAGTTCATAAAAAAAAAAAAAAATAAATAAATAAATAAATAAATAAAAATAAAAATAAAAATATATTTTCAATCATCTTGAAATATTCTTATTTATTCAAAGTGTTTGATTAAACTTCGTCTGGTGTTTAACACTTAGATAGTATTTACATAAGGAATAAATATATACCTGAAGATAATATATTACATTGAGTATCATTTTTTTTTTCAATATTAAAATGGTAATATTAAAAAAAAAAGTTTTTGATGAATAACTACTATATTAAATAATATACATATTTATAAAGTAGTGATTAGTATACTCGTATATCAATTTATGTTGGTATCTTAATTTTCAAAAGATTGGTTTTCATCTTTCAAACGATGTTTACCTACAAATAAGAAATTGTGTATTTATGACGTATTTTCTTATTCCCGGATTGATTATTATAGATACAATCGTGTTAATTTATTATTTTTGGACTTCTCCGCTTTAATTTATCAGCATTAAAATATACTATAATATAGTGTTATGTGGATAAGATACATTCAGTAGGTACGATTATTTGCAGCATAATATATTATTGATAAAGCGTAATTCAAATTACGAATTTGATGATATAGTAATTTATCAACGACCGAACAATTTGTTCGCCTGAATTGCTGCGCTGTATGTGTACATACACGGGAATCTGGTCAGCCAGATCAAATCAATTAGCGCTTATCAAGAACACTACGGTCGTGTGTATATTATATATAATTTCGTGGTGGTTACCCACTTGCAGGACGACTGAGTTACACCGCGATCGGTGCCGCTCGGACGTTGTACAACAATATATAAATCTACACGCGAACGTACACGTTGCGGACGCGCACACACACACGCATAAATGACCTCTGCCGCCCAAGCTAAGTCGGTGTCGAATTAATCACCGCGCACTGTAATAATAATACATTATAACACATAGTCGTATACAGTGATATAAGGGCGACGAGTAAACCGACAACAGTATTAGAGCACTTGCAATTCGTATTGGTATTAAAATCACTTATATACGTATAATATCAGGGATAATATGAGATATCATGCAATGTGAATTTATTCATTGCATAAACTGTTTAACATACACTCATCCAAAATATCCGTCTAACATAATAACATATTATATTGTCTGTGTATAGAACACTTATTAATTATTGTTAAATTACTTTTGAAACGACTCGCTATAGTTTGTGGCTTACCTATACAGAACCGGATGGACGAGAGGATTAAGGAAACCTCCTTTAATTAGCCACGTTAGTCGTTGAGATAATAATAATAGGTATTATTCATATCCAGTATATGTTATATCAGTTTTATGGAAAAGGAATCATGTATGGGAAAGAATATTATAACTAGTAATTGTGAATGTAATAATAATAATAAAAAACTGGGACCAATTAATTTGCTTTACATCCGTCGGAATGGTAACGTCGTTTCGAGCTGGGTGCTCTGGGTCTACCTGAATTCAATGTTTATTTTATTTACATTAAAGGTTTGGCTCAAAATTCAAAATTAAATTAAATTGAATCAGCAGTATTATGTAACAAAACATAAGATATTGAGAAGTTAAATAATTTTAAATTATGTGACCTAGTCAAATAATATTTAGGCTTAGATGGGAAGGGTTCATAATATTAAGAAAATACTTTGTGATTAAGTGAACTTTATTGCATGGTCAAATGATGTCATCGTCATTTGTAGTCAGATCACCATTGTAAGGCACGTCTTTACGCAGATTATAATACTCGAATTATTATCCGATTGAGTATTTTTTTTAAATTGTAAATATTCTCATGGAGGGATGAACAAGAATCAACGGATAACGCATGGTAACACTTGATATTTACATAATATAATAGTGTTATGCTGTTAAAGTAAAAATCTTCATACAATGCCCGTTACGTGATTGTTTTATCAAGGTTTTCCTCGAATTTTCCAAACGCGCACTCATCTATAATATAATACGTAATATATACAATATACTCTATAATGAATAATTTCTAAATAACGTACGTCAAGTATAATGAAGTTATTTATTCTAATAACGATGAAACCTATGAATAATATAGGTGAATTTATGCATTCTATCTTGACGCATTGAAGAATCTGCGGGAAACGGCCAGAGTTGATCAAGATTCGTTTCACCTGCACTCCACAATACCACATATTATATTCATACATTCGAAAATAGCAATAAAAATACGATAAATTATAGATTTGTGATTAAGGTTTGATTACAATTCATAACACTTGATATACATGCAGTGTGCATAGTGCTTGGTGCATATGCAAGTATTAAAAATAAAAAAAAAACGCGAAAACAGTGTGATAGAGAATGAAGTAATGGACTTCAAAAAATCAGACAATTGTTCCATACAAGAATGGTCGGTGGAAAATATCGCTGTTTTTTTTTTTTTTAATATACCTGCGTTTAGCAATATACGTTAATAAAATGGTAGGTGGTTACCTTAATAAGTCTTTATCCCAGTGGTTAGTGCACGTTTACCTCACTAGATTTTGTCATGTATACATTTAAAAATTTAATATTTCGATACTATAAATCTACTGTTAAAGGTACAGGATTTCCTTCAGTAGGGGTATATTTAGTATAGGCCATTGCCTTATATACAATCGTATACGATATAGTTGAAGTAAACGGGTGACCAACGTAATAACTTAGAATCCCGATGCAGAAAAGTCCAAAAACTTCCAAAATTCTACTGAAAGTTTAAAGTTCATATGCAATGTGGGAGGGTGGATTTTACGTACATAGTTACTTTCAGGACATTTTCTGTATCACTGATTGTTATGGCCGCTGTTCGAGTTCGATTCATGACGATTTTTGATCAAAATGCTTTCACGTTATCATCCACCTGTGCACATATTTTATATAGTATTGTGCATCATTACGACAAGATGTCTTTATGTCAACCATATTCTCAATGTATATCGAATAATTTTCACATTTCCATTTACATGTATATTTTATATACTGAGTAAGTATTGTGCAATGAAAATGCTTCCGTATCATCCTGGATCTGACAAAACGCGTCACTGTGGGTAGCTAGTAAAAGCATCAAATATCTATAAATTATTCACAAGTTTCTTGTTTGAATTATAAATAGCAATGATTCCATATGCTTTTTCAGTCTAAAAGGTTTATTCAGAATTACATGTTAACTATATTTGAATGATCCAAACATAACCTCGACGTGAATTAGTAGTGCAACATATGAGTAATACAGTTTTGTGTGCATTATCGTTGCGACTTTGCTTCTTGTCATTATGTATAGCCTCATATAAATTTGATTAATGTATCGCATTTATAATATTTGCAGATTAATTATATTATTATGTAGTTGACAACAGTTTTAATATTTGGTAAGGTTCGAATTTGGCATACCAAAAGACCTAATAAGTATCCCAAATACAGGACATTTTGGAACTTAGATAATTATGAATCGATGCAATACTATCTACCTTATAATGTGATTTGATAGAGTAGTACAGGTCGATTAATATGTACATAAAGCATTGTTTTTGTAATGAAATTGCAATAAAATAATCTGACGTTTGTGTTCTGTTGCACTTAAACACTGTGTATAACAATCATACTTTTGATAAAAATTATTACCTATATAAAATATTAGTAAAATTAAGTCCATCGGGTGGCAACTCTTCAACGTGAATTTTATCAAGTGATCCATACGCCCTTTGTGCACAAAGCGCGACGCGTACCAACACTTACCAACCTCAATATTCTATCGCCATGGAAGACTTAACGAAGTAATCGCGAAGAAAGTGACTCGTCATGGGATATACTATATATTATGTTTTGTAGGTACTAAATCGTACTCGCAGAATTCGACTACTAAAATGCTAACCTTTTCGCCGGAAAACGTGCACTTGACGGTAACGCGGTCCTCGTTGTCCCAATCGCACTTGCACTCTTGTCTCTGGCACCACGAGGGTTGTTGCTGCTGACCGTCGTCGTCCCGCGGTCGAACGCCGCCGCCGCCGGTCGGCAACAGGAGGCACGCCAGCAGAAAGACGACGGCTAGGGTCGGCCACCCGGCGGCCATTTGCGCCTTAGCCGTACATGGTGCGTCCAAACGATAAACGGACGCGGCCGCGAAGACGGGGCGCGACACTGCGGTTACTCGAGAAACGCGGTAACTGCGGTTATCGACGGACGCGCGGATCGGTGATTTTTACCACAAAAATAATAATAAAACACCGTAGTGATAAATATAAACGAAACACGACGACGTGGAAACGCACCCGTAAAAAGAAAAACGTCGCGACGAAATCGGCCGAGCGCGCACGAACACCACCCGCGCGTCGTACCCGACAGCTGTTGAACCCACGACCGACGGACGCGCACTGACGCAGCGGCGACCGGTAGACGTTTTTACACACGGTTTTACGTTACACACACGCGCACGCACGTCTCTCGTTTTGTCGTATTTGCGTACAGCCGCCGCCGGATCCGTTTCTCCCACCCAAAAAACTGGTTTCGTCGCCCGCAACAGCAACGGCAGCTGCTGCTGTAAGCGCACGCCGCAGCCGCCGCCGCCGCCACTACCGAACGCCACCACACGACCGACCGCCCACGAACGTACGTACGAGACGACGAACGCCGCGCCGGCCAGACGGCTATTAATATTATTATTATTATTATTATTTATATTATTAATATACGGGGTGATTCGCGTTTAACGTGTGCCACTCTATTGTCATCACTGGTATTCATTCCATCTATTTCTAAACCAGTGTAATAATATCATGTTTTGTACTCGGTATAATCGAATGGGACCGAATCGGAACGAACGGTTCATTGATATCACACATCACGACGAGCATTCAAAGTCTAGACGTAGGGTACCCCGGGGTAGTGGACAAACGTTTTGCCGAGTTCCCCTTTACCACTCCCCTCCGCGCACGAAAACATTTTTAATACTTTTTATTTTTTTTTTAATATTCGTTGAAAATTCGATTCGGATATCAAAAAAAACTTCAAAAAATAAACCGCTCTGAAACAAGAATAATTATTAATAAATATAAAAAAAAAAAACAATAACGTTGTATAAAATAGTATAAAAAATGTATTTCTTTTTTAACGCTATTATTTTCACCTAATGATGCACGACAAAATACGTTTTCAAAAACGTTAAAACGACCATCTTGCGCGTTAAATAGATCACCCGGTATTACTATTATTTCATACGTACGTGTTGTGTACTACGTATTATGCGTACATAGCCATCACGGCTACGATCGTCGCCGTCGTAGTACACGCGTTACGCGTATAATGATATAGCATGTATATACGTATAAAACACGACGCCCCTATAATAAATACATTTTTTTTTTTTTGTCTTGTTTTATTATTGTTGTTATTATTTATTTTATTGAGTTTTTTTTTTTTTTTTTTTTACGAGCTCTCGTAATTGACGGATTGTATTTCGGTGTGATGCGTCGAACACGAAACGTATACACTCCGTCGAAATATTATATCGCACTCTTATTTTATACTTTCTTTGTAGTCTACCTTATGCAGTGCGTTCGGAGGAGGGTTTTTGATGAAGTTTTTGGAGCGCACACGTTGTACCTATGTTGTTATTGTTTATACTCACGTTATAATTGCAGGTAGATATTTATATTGTTGATTGCGGTGCTATAATACACGAGCTAATCGTTTTTCCTTCTGCCGTTCGAAAACTTTTAAAATTAACTTATGATAAACCACTACCATTAATACTAGATTTTGTGAGAAAAGTGCGCTAAATAAAATAAGTGACATAATCAAGTCCGCTTCATGTCACATGCAGTATTTTGGTTCCGAATTCTTAATCAAAATCTAACATGCTAAAATGTAGAATTTGGGTGTTGGCATGCTGCCAACCATGTAGAACCATGTAAAATTATAACATTCTCCCATCTCCTTAAGTTATAGCAAGCATAATGATATTAAAGTTCGTTTGTATGACTAATATATTACAATAAATGTTAATTTTAATTTTAATTATTATGGTTAAAATAAACATGCTTTTAAAAATACTTTTCGTTTTTACTTAATGTTCAAATATAATGTATATTTAAATTATTAAAATAACATTGTCGTATATAATCCCTCGCAGTAAGCCATAATATGTACCAATTGATTGATTCTTTTATCAAAGAACTAAATATTTTAAAAACTATCAAAATACTTTCTTGGGATAATTCAATGTATATAAATCAAATTTCTAACTAATATTTTAAGATGAAAAATACTTGAAAACAGTCATCAACAGGTTTCACCGTAGATTAACTCACCATATAAATACAAACAAAATATTTTGAAAAAAAGACAGGAACATTAAAAATAAAAAGTTTCCTGAAAAATGTTATCCTGGAAAAGATAATAATTATTTAGGAAACATACCTTGCAAACTTGCAGTAAATCGTATAGTTATTTTATTAAACTTTTTCCGGAATCTATTTTTGAACTTGTTTTCCAAGAAAGTTGTCAGAGTATGCAGCTCAAAATGGTAATTTTTTATATCCTAACGAAGTAAGTTTGTTATTTTATATTACTACGAAATTGTATAATTTTAAACATAGTGCTAGAAAAAAGGTGAAAATATTTTTATTTTCATTAAGTTTTCAGTTATTTGTATAGCATAAAATGTTTATTTACATACAGTATAATAACCAATTTAATTAATTATTATACAATGTTTTATTCGTCAACAAATTTACCATTTACGCAGGTTTACTACACCACTATAATATGATGTGGACATAGCCCACCCACACACGATGCACATATGACACCATGTGTTATTTTTTAACTTTACCATTTTTAATTGATCTAAAATTGTTTTTTCTTTAATATTTCAGTACATTAAAAAAAATAGTAAAAAAAAAAAAAAATTATGAATCAAGAAGTTAAATAGTAAAAATAAATTAACTTTAATTTTTCTTTTTTGTGAAAATAAAGCACGTTATTCCCCTAAACTTTGAACCTACTTTTTAATTTATTTACGGAACTTTCACCAATTTAAAATTACACATTAAAGTAGCCAAATAAAAAATACATTTTTCAGTACTTTCTTAGTAAAAATTAAGGGTTACGAAATTTTTTTTTACAAAATAATGCTTCGAAATTTACTATATAACAGAGCGATATATAGTCACTATAGCTAGTCCACCCTTTCTAAAACTGAAAATACAAAGTAAATTCTATGAGATTTAAAACTGAACTGTATAGCAGCACATAATTGATAGTAAAAAATGCATTCCAAAACTGTATTGTCAGTAATATAAACATCAAAATATGCAATTTTAATAGCGAAATACAACCTTTATTTTACAGTCTGTATGTAATTATAATAGTCAATATAAACATGATATAACTTGTATGAATTTTAACAACTTATTATTATTAATAGGGATTTGAGCTGAATTTTGTTATTTGTGCAAAATATATGGTAAAATAATTTTAATTGAACAATATTAGTAATACAGTTTATTGTGAAATATTTTATTATACGTGTATTCAATTTTTATAAGATATAATAAACATCAATATGCAGGTATAATATATTGTACTTAATTTATTTTGTATAATAACACGTAACTATATATTATAAATAATTTATATCCACAAGTTTAAGTTATATACTATTATATATCATTATTTTAGTATACATGTTACTAAAAATGGATATATATAAAAAAAAAATCATAACAAGTTAGCTGTAACTTATAAAAATTGTATTGAAAACCAATAAAACAAAATAATGATATCCTTTAAAAATAGTTTACATAATATTAAAATGCCGTTTGAAGTACTACAAACATAGAAAGAAGTGTATTTTTCAGAAGAGCTATTTTTTTCTAATATTAAAAATGTTATTTATTATAGACTCGTTAACTTTTTTATCGCAGTAAAAATTAAAAAAATAATTTAAAATTATGGAACATTTTATAATTATATTTACAAAGTGATTAATTAATAAAATAAAAAATAAAAATGAATGGGTGATTGATCAGCAGAGCATTCCATTATTAAATTCTTATATACCTATGCAAAAAACATAATAATATATGACGTGCAATATAAAACTATAATGTTTAATTTCAAATCGCATAATTGATTAGAACATAGTATTGTGTAACATTAAATTTGTGTATTTTTTTTTTTTTTAACGATAAAAGAAAACACTATATTATTATTTTTAGTATTTATATTATTCTGTACTAATATTAGTATATTATTTATTTTTTTTTTCTAACTATTGATTTACTTTGTGTGAACGATTTTTAATGAATTATCCTGAAATGAATATTACACTATTATACATAATAATATTAGATGGATTATACACCGCACAAAAACATTATATTTTAATCATATTGTTAAGTTGACACAACAACCAATGTTTTTGAGATATGAAAGATAATATATTCTTTAGACTAGGTTAGTTTATCTATTTCTATGTGCATGGGTTTTAAAGGATCATACATACCTACTACCTATATTAAAATTACATTATCATATTAATGAGCTGACACTGTCATCAGAGAAATATTATAGTTAGCCAAAACTCAGAATATTATATGCTACATAATATGTATATTCTGTTTAAAGCGTAGACTTATATACCTATAATATAATATAATAATATACTCATTTCCATTTATTATGAGAATATCATGATGAATTATAGAATATATATACAGTTTGGACAGTGCATATGCGCAAAAATTGTAATATTAAATGTTACCACTCCAGCTGTAAAATAAATTTTATTATAATTTAATTAATCCATTATATATTATATTGGTGAGTGGTGACATTACGATGCAAGATGAAACGAATTATTTTCTCTTTTGAAGTGTATGAAGTGTATGTCGGTGTATTAATAATATTATAATTATATAGGTGCATACTGTCAACTACCTTAATTGAACGTCAAAATTATATTATATAGAAAATTTAATTGAAGCTGGAATTAATTTTCTGGTTGTACACGTTTTTGTGGTGTATTGGAGGTAAACCCTTGTCCGCTTAATTATTTTAAGTACTCGACAAAGCAATAAACTTCGATTCTGTCAATTTAGACCTTTCCGCAGTAAACAATTACAATTCACTATGCAAGGTTTGTTGCAAACCATCATCTCGATGTTTAAATTGCAATCCTTAGTTAACATCACAATGCGATTTTAAAAGATGTAAAT